AGTTCGAGACCAACAGACCACGTGCCGTGCTTTTTGAAGGCCCACCAGGTTTGACCAGTTGATATATTCTGAGATATAAGGAATTTTTTTAGCAATATGCTGGAATTACGTAGACTTAGTACGAGTTCCTAATATACATACAATCCGGATTCCCTGTTAAGCTCGAAGGGGGTGATTGGATATAAGTTATTTTGGTTTTGATAGGATTTGTTGGATAACCAGAGTTAATTTTGAACTTATAGTAATATTTTTTACCCTGTCAAGTTCACAACGTGTATCCTTTATTACAGAACTTATAGGAATATAATGGAGCCCAACTTAAATTAATAATTGGTTGGTTTTGACATGTTCTTTAAACTCAAAACTACATGTATGTTTATGCATGGTGGTGTCAGCTGCATATATTGAGGTAAATTTTTAGTTTTAACCTTTCTTTTTATTATTTTTAACTACAAAATTGTGTTTGCCTGTCTAATTTGGTTTCAGGTACAGGTAAAACATCTTGTGCTCGAGTAATTGCTAATCAAACGGTATGTTAGTTGCTCAAAAATTGAAGCTTTCTCGTAACTTTTTTTCCCTGTCCATCCTTAATGCAGAGTTAATATATTTCTTATGCTGTGTGTTTTATCTTTTAAGTATTCCAAATCCCTTATCTTCTTTTTGCAGGGGGTCCCCATGTTATATGTCCCTTTGGAGGTTATCATGTCTAAGTACTACGGTGAAAGCGAGCGTTTGTTGGGGAAAGTTTTCTCACTTGCCAATGAAATCGCTGATGGCGCAATTGTTTTCCTAGATGAGGTGAAGTTCAATTAGTTGGAAGTTACACAGTACTATATATGAAACTAGGAATATATAATTTTCTCTTTTATATTGGAGTGTAAATGCTTCTTGGTGGGACCTATCACAGGTTGATTCTGTTGCTACAGCTCGTGATAGTGAAACGCATGAAGCCACACGTAGGCTCTTATCGGTTTTGTTGCGACAGGTAATGCTTATCATTTGACGGGCTTAGAAATTCAGGAAAAGAAAATTGTGCCGTTGACTTTGACTTTGATATAACATATTGAACACCAAATAGAGCTCATATTTGGCAGAGTGTTGATTGTTCGGCATATATCAATATTGTTTTTTCTCTCGTCTGCAGATTGATGGATTCGAGCAGGAGAAGAAAGTAGTGGTTATTGCTGCTACCAATAGGAAGCAGGACCTCGATCCAGCTTTGCTTAGGTAATAAAAAGTTAATTTTCTTTTTCTTATATTCTTGTTGAGCGAAAACAGCCACATGCACGCTTTCAGATATTTACTGAAAAAACTCCCTTTTTCTGTCTCCTTTTGTCAGCCGGTTTGATTCGATGATCACTTTTGACCTACCTGACCATCAGACTCGAGCAGCAATAGTGGCTCAGTATGCAAAGCACCTGAAAAAATCCGAAACGATCGAACTTGCCTCTGTTACTGAAGGGCAAGTTCAAGAGATATTGTTACCTTTTAACCCGTTAATATGAACTTTTATTTCTCTTCACTCCTCACTGAAACCAAAAATAAAAAATAAAAACCATGTTTTCATGTGTGTCTTGTCGTGAAACTTTCATTGATGCGTGCAGAATGTCGGGTCGTGATATAAGGGATGTGTGCCAGCAAGCAGAAAGACACTGGGCTTCAAAGGTTTATCGTTAAAACAGATATATTTGTCTATTTATTTATTTATCGATACACTCATCTAATATTTAAACATATTTTGTCTGTCTGAAAAATATAGATCATTCGAGGACAAGCAGAGAAAAACGAAGAACAGAACTCGCTCCCTCCTCTGCGCGAATACACCGAAAGTGCTTTGAAAAGACGAGCAGCTATGCTCGGTGCTGCAAATCAGATGCGGAACGCTAACCCTCTTTCGAGGAAGTCCCAGCTTGATTTTCTATGAAGTCCACACAGTACTTTATGGCAGCTAAGAAGTTTTCTTATATAATTATTAACATAAAACCTGTACGTAATAGTCATTTACAGAACACCTATGAAGTTCAGCTTGCGATCTTTAGTATGTCAACGGTTTTATTCATAGGTGTACTAAAGTTAGCCGTAATTTGATTGTAAGAAGCTGAAAAGTCTAAAACAGCCAAGTTCCAACACATGTAAGTTGATGATCTTTTGTTGCAGTTTTAGTTGCATTATAAGACACTCATGTCTTCATTTCAAGTTTCTAGAACTTTAGTTAGTTTTGAAAACAAAAAACAAATTTAATTATAAATAACTTGTTGTACGGTACCCGTGGTTTGCACGAATTAGTTTTATTAAAGTAATCTTTTAAATTTTGATAATTGGAATTACGTAATAAAACAAAATGTAACTTATATATTATTAAACTCGCCATTGTACACAACATTATTTTTTTTTGGTACGGGAAAAGGACGCCGAAACTAAACGCTAATGCTCGATAACAATCCGGCGTGGGTGAGCCACGCCAATGAGATCATGTTGTAAGCAAACTCCTGCCCCCAACGGAGGGCGATCGAATCGGTGTAACCCACTTGTACCCTTGGCCGCTAAAGAAGCCAGAAAATCCACCACCACATTCGTCTCCTGATGGCCATGAACAATCTCAAGTTCCCAAGGCCGCAGCATCAACTCTTTAATTTTCCGAAGAAGAGACCCATGAGGCCCGTTAGACACCTCACGATTAACGAGATCAATGACACTCTGGCTATCGACTTCCGCCACAAGTCTATGGGCCCCCATATCCCAAGCCAGCTGCAAGCCCTGAAATAAGCCTCATAGTTCGGCCCCCACAATGGAGCAATAACCAATATTCATCGTAAAGCCATTAATCCAAGCCCCACGGTGGTCACGAATAACACCTCCAGCACTCGCCATTCCCGTCGCCGGGACAAAGCTACCATCCGTATTAACTTTCAGAACTCCCTCCGGCGGAGCAGACCACGAGAGCCATCTCGTTTCGCGCCTGAGACACGCATCCACCTTCTGGCCATCGACCAACGCACCTCGAACACGGCCCGAGAAAGAGACAGTCTCCCGAACACGTTGGTTCACAGTCATCTCCAACCCTTCAAACACCGCAAGATTTCTCCATTTCCACAAACGCCAAGCCGTCAGGCCAAATAATGTGGGCCAGTCCTCAACCTCGGGAAGGAAACTACCTGTCAAATTCTGCAAGAGCCACTCCCGAAAATTCAAAGAAAGGAACTCCCGCCATTTCGCGTTTGGGACAAGCCTCTTCCATGTCGTCCTCGCTGAAGCTCAATCACGAAGAACATGTGTGGTGGACTCGACCTCCATGGAACAAACCGGACACAAATCACTATCTGCCATGTGACGTCTCCACTACAAGAAATAAGAGTTTTACCAACGGAATAATCCGTTGGTAATCAAGTATCCCAACAGAATCCTAACGGATTACCAACAAATTATTTTGTTACTATATGACTTGTTGCTAAACATTTATCAACGGAAAATGT